GGGGGGAGAGAGGCTCCATTCGGAGGAGCACTCGGGTGCTCACCGAGAGAGTGAGGTTGGAGAGTAGCTATGTGCTCAGCCGAGCTCCCAAGCTCAGCAGAGGAAGGATGTGCCAGCTCTTCCCCTTTCGGGGGAGCGTTGGCGGGAGCTGTCCTCATCTCCAGGGAACGGTCCTGGCCAGATGGTAGGACAGACAATGGAACAACACCTCGAGTGCTGTCATCAGCTAAATGAATGGACGTACCACTGGTCGAGGCGTCCGGCTGCTCCAAATCCTCAGCTAGGAGGTCATCATCGTCTAAAAAAGGGGGGTCTAAAGACCTATGGGGATCACTGGTAGAGGTCTCAGGCTCATCCTCTGCCTCAGGGGAGAGGACAGCAAAGAATGAGTGATTGGCCTTAAAGGCCGACTAAAGGGTGTGTCTGGGAATGAAGCCCGAGGTCTTGCCCTTGGGCCCAACAGAAGCCAACTGCTTAGGCTGGTTAGGATGAACATCCTTTCCAGTTTGGGCAGTGGAGACCATCACAGCCTTACTCTTATCCTTGACCCCCTTTGGGGATCCGGGCGCATGGAGAGGGCCTTTGCCCTTTCCCTTCGGTTCCCTCCGGCCATTGGAGGGTCCCGGCTGAGTCGTATGGTGGCGCGGAGGGAGAGTGGGGCGTGGCTTATTGCCACTAATGTAGCAATCAGCCGCTATGTGCCCCACATGACTGCAGGAAGTGCAGAACGCGGGGATCTTCTCGTAGATCACCCGCTGAGCAAAGGTCTCCGAAGCCTGCTCAATCTCAATCTCATGAACGGGCTCAACCCTGAGATCGATCTCAACACATTATCGAGCCACATTAGCCCTCGACTTGAGGGCTGTCGGGGCATCAATGCGCACCGGTTTTCCAACACACTTGGCAAGTGTGGTGATGGAGTCCCGGTGGTAGAGGTGTGGTAGGAGGCTGGGGAGGCGGCACCACACGGGGACGACAGGCGTCTCCGTCTTCAGGTTGAACCCGGACGTGTACTTGAACACCCTAGCTGGGCATCGACACACAGAAATGGAGGTCTTAAGCCAAGTCTCATTATAATCCTCAGTAAGATAAAAGGTGACAAGGAGATGGTTCAAATTATACCACTTAAAAGAGAATCTACCCTTAAACCCCAACTGACCTAGTCCAGCAGATATAACTCGGGGGGGAGGGATGTCATAAGAGAACTTAAAAACCAAGGTGTTAGCTAACTTACCGGCAAGGGTGTCAGCTTCGGCCTGCGAGAATCGAGCCTTCACCGTGTTTCCCTCCGAGCGTATGATGGAGCCGCAGGCATGCTCGTAATCCCCATCAAGGGTAAACTCCTTGGGCGTCGGGCTCGGGCCGCCCGTACCGCCCTCTTTCCTCCCCGTAATAGCCTCCCGAAAAAAGAGCGGCCTGCTGGGTGAGGCCGAAGATGGTCCAGTTGCAGCGGGATTGGCCAGGGGGGTGCCCGTCGGCGGCGGCACTTTCCGGGAGTCTCCGGTGGGGTGAGTTTCAGTCGCCGCATTTAGAGCATTAACAATGACTCCGTCTTCTCGTACATATAGCACATTCAGGTCAGAGGCTCCGTTAGCCAAATTACTTAAACCGGCATGGCCATCGGGCGGGGAGGGAGAGATGGACCGGTGAGCGGGCACATCGATTGAGGAGACCACCTCCGGGCCAATTCCGGTGGTCTTGCCGGCAAACTGGGCATCTCCGGCCGCCGTGACGGCGCCGGTGCCGGAGCAAGGCGGATGGCCGGCGTGTTTCAGTTGCAGTGAAGGAGCAGCAGGGGGTAAGGAAGGTTGAAAGCTGAGAGCAGGTAAGAGGAGGTGGGCAGCCTGGAGGAGAGGATTGGGCTGGGGAAGAGTAATCTGGGCTAAGGTCGGCCCAACAAGGTGAGGAGAGTTGTTGGGCTGAAG